ATATATGGTAGATGCTGTGCACTTCGTCATAAGTTCCTCAGCTGCAAGATTGTGTTATTCTAGCATTGGTATAATTCTTGCTCATCACGCATCATGTCTTCAAGGAACTGGTGTTCAACAGGCCACCAGATGTGGTGCCATGCAGGGATGACTGGGAAGCAGATTTCAATCAACATCACATCACCACCCCAGATCTGATTGTGTTCAAGGCGTCAACTTGTAAGCCCGAAGGGAAAGGTGGAGAAAAACAGCTTCTCAACCCAGGTCTATGGACACATTGTGCGTGGCTCGCGTCTGATGGTGTGTGGGCACCCTAGCTTGGCACCTGGAGTTTCGCCACGCTTGTCGGTGAGCGGTGCATTGACACTCTTGGCAAATGGGGAGTAGCAGGTTTCACAGCGCCAGAGCACGAGTTGCGTCTTGTACACACCAACACCTTATACCCATGTCAACGCCCATGTGCCAATCAGTTTCTCAGTTTTGACGAACTTGTGGTACACTGTCAATGTCGAAGTTGAGCCATGAAACTTCTGCCAGCAGTGTCGTAGTTCGGAAATCTTGCTGCACATCTAAGTGGCTTGCAAGATGTGAAAACTTCATGCACTACTGTGCAACTAACGATACCAACACACACTGGAAGCGGATGGCCTGCCTTCACAGCCAGATTGTTTGAGCGACCCGCAGCAGGTATTCGCCAACGAGCCTGGCGAAGCTGATCTGGCCCTGGACCAACACAGCGCCTATCTGGCGGGTGACACCCAAAGAAACCTCGCGATTGCCAGCACAGGGGCAGCAGCGAGTCCTGCACACGCTGAGAGGTAGATTCATTCGTAGAGTGTTGCTGTTGCATCGCAGCCAGCCAGCCAGTGCTGTGGAGCGCAAGCTGCCTCGGTGCATCGGCAGCGTACTGGGTGTCAAGCTGAAGAGCTTTGGCAGCCAGTCTTCTTTTCGTGGTCCTCTGTATACGCCGCCATTCCCCCCGCGTGTGCCGCCTCAAATCTGACAACACGGCACGCAACACATCAAAGCTGGTTCAGGAGAGAATGCCACCAGATGCAGCGAGGCATCCGCCCCGCACCTGATCTGGGCAAAACCAGCTGGGCCTGAGCTGGGCCAGCGCTGAGGCAATGCTGACACAGTTCACCCTAACCCTTAATTTGGCAACCAGGTAAGTTGGGAAGCCAGCGGCCACCCATGAAAACAAGGAGCAGTCGTCATCGCATGGTCAGGGATAGCATTTCTCGTAACGTGACATCCACTGGCTGCCCCGTTTGCTCATCCTTTTAGCCACATTTTTTAACTGGCAGTCATCCGTTCTTATCAGTGACAACAATCAGGAGGCATGCCGCTTTCCTGCCAGTACTTTCTGCTGATTGGCTGTTTCACATACAGTACGGGAAACAGCCGACCAGCAGAAAATACAGTATGGGACAATGCAGCCTGGGACAACGCAGAGAGAAAATTCTCATCACCGCGCTGCCGGTGCCAGTTCGTGCTTTATCCCATGTGGCAAATGTGATGAAGCAGAATGGCATGCGTCTTGAGCAGTGATGCACAGGCGGCGGCAGTGTGAAGCGGAGGCTTACGCAAAGATGTGATGCACCGATGGCAGATGGCGCAGACTCGGCTGTTTTACAGGAGGAGGGGCAAGTGCTGCGTTTTCAGTGACACAATACGATTTGAAGAGGTCTGCAACTGCACAGATAAAGGCCTTGATGCTTCTCGCTGCACACAACCCGAATGCTGCCAGCCTGTGCGGATCCTCACTGTTCCGTCAAGGGGTCACTCCCACAGCAGAATCGGTCCCAGAGCACGCAATCAGGGTGCTACATTCACCAGCAGCACATTTTTACACCTGGCAATCCACGTGCGCTTCATATTGAGCCATTCTGAGATCTTCAACTGCCTGTCCATGCCCATTGTGGCATGGCCCCCCATCTGGGTGAAACACAGCAACTGTGTTGCCATTGCCCTGGGGCTGAGCGGCCCAACCCGATTTGAAGTATCGTCGCTGGACTTACTGGACAGACAAAGTGCAGAAGGAAAGCACTCCAAAGGCGTTTAAACTGCTCCATTCTTACTTCTGCTGCAGCTCGCGCTCTTTCCTGTCACGATAACGTTTGTATTCCTCATCAGTCATCTTCTGAATCGGCATCCATTGCTGCCATCCACTAAGCCTGCAATGCAAACGCAAGAAACGTTCAGCAAAGCTTGCGCGGATGCATCAAATCAAAGCTTATGAAAAAGAAGCAAGGACCCATGATAGTTCTGCCATGGCTTGCAGAATTCATTACACAGTTTGCACCACTTGCGCCAGCCCACAGCAGCAAAGAGAGGGAGCACACCATGCGTGCGACGCACCAATCTGGGTGTGCCCAGTGCGCGCTAAATAAACTCCAAAGTGCCAAATAAATTGGCACGTGTGGCTGAAGCAATATTTACATCCATATTTACAATAGGTAGCTGACAACCAAATTCAAAGAGCTGTCCTCTGAGGGAATCCTAAAGTAATTCCAACACAAAGGATACCAGTGTGGGCGTGCACCAAGGCCAGGTGCAGCCATTCCCACCACAGCTCTCCTTGCTTAAGCAACACATTCTGTGTCCATGCTATGAGCAGGCACACATACATGTATATCACCAGACAATGTCACTCATTTTGGCACAATTCGCCACTGTGCACACAACAGATGACTTATGCTCCTGTGTCGTTATTGATCAAGGCAACTGCCCATCAACTTCAATGTTGGAATTTAAGCTTCTCTTATCCCAATGTTTCTCAAAAGCGCTTTTCCACCCATGCTTCTTTGGGGACGAGCACAAAGCAGGCAGTGTTGCATTGGAGATAGAATGTCTGTTGGCGATTTGCCGCGAAGCTGCTGATGTTCGACTGTGGAATTGCTGGGCGCTTTCCATAGAACCAGTCTCCACAAACATGGCTAGTGAGATAACAGCCAGCAACACGGCAGCAGAGCGATGTGAACAAAAAGCAATTCATGACAATGCTAATGGACCTCCAGTGCGTTGTTTCCGGACATTGCACAATAGGGTCAGTGAACTTGATGACAAGAGGCCTGACTGAATCAACGCAATCTCACCAGCCACCATCTGCTTCTTCTGAGAGTTTGCTGCCTTCAAGTTGATGGGATAACTGGTCTGCACCACAACCATAATGGCAACTTCAGGTGTTTGACCACCTAAACCAGAGCGATCTTCCAGATGAAACAGCCCAACAGTCCATAGTTACCAAAAAAGAGACACCACACAAACAGTTGCCATGCCAGCAAAAGACAAAAAAACACATCTTACCAAAAAGTTGAGCACTGGGGCCATAATTCGACTGGCAGAATGCAGCCTGAACAGGAGACATCGGTATTCTTGCTGTTGGGACGTGAATGAACAATTCGAATGTATGTTGAGCAGTGCAACGTGCACACTAGACCAAACTGAATGCATCGATGTTCTAGCTGTCTCTCCACGCGCTTCATGATTCGAGTGTCAAGTGTTCTACAGTACAACTCTGCACATCTGCCACACTGTGCCAGTTTACAGGAATATGAAGCGGCATGTATCACCAATCCAGCGGATGTCGTGGTGCCCATTCATGTTGAGCACCAAGGTCTTTTGGAGGCTGTGCAACAAAGTAGAAGCCCCAGGCCTGGATGATTGCATAACATGCCAATCACCTTGTGGAATATCCAGCAGATCAAGACTGGCCAACGTCCTTTTGAAGCGAGTTCCAGGGTCCCAACGATCTGACAGGACATGGCACGTGGCTGCAGCCACACCCCAAAGGCAGCCACCCAAGACTCCCTTTGTTCGGCCCTCTTCAGCACAAGAACACCTCCTCAAAAGCGCATCTTACATCTTGCACATGCAAACACTGTCCTGAAATGTATATGGCATTTGCTGTCTTTGACAATACAACAGGCAGCGGCGGCTTTGGTATTCAAAGTGTCAGACAGTGCAAACTGGAACGATCATGTGCACATAGTGTCTCCAGGACATTGAGGAGCATTTAAGCCAATAGGCAGTCATGTTACTGGACAGGGCTGCTGTTTCAGCCAATGCCAAGAGAAAACGGATACTTTTCACACCCACGTGTGCCATCACAGCGAGCAACACAAACGAAAAGATTGCCGAATGCTTGATGAGTGTGCTGCAGGAAGGTATAAAAGGAAGAGATGCCAGTGTGCATCCGTCGAAAATCAACAACACAAATGTGTGAATCCAAGATGAGCACACTATGACACTCTCCGCCTGGGAAGAACCTTAGAAGTTACTGCTTTCCACAGTCTGTCGTGTCTACTGGCACAACTGCATCAAACTGCTTGCGATTGCACCATTGGTGTATGGTTTCAGAGGTGAGAAACTGTGATGCAGTACTCATGGGGCAAGCTTCAATTTTGCGGAATGCTAGAAAGTAATTGCTCAATTTCTGACATAACAGCACTACTTGGATGAGCTCAAACAGCTCCTTCGGGCACAATTGTCTCCAGACGTCTTGGTTCACCACCCAATCACAGGCCTCCCATTGTTTTAATCAATCAGGAGACTAAGCACAGCAGCACAACAATACATTGTCAAAGAAAACAGTGTGTGATAATGTCTTTTCACCCAAATTCAGCAATACACTACAATTGGCCCCTCTCTATGTGGACCGTGTGCTCTCCTGGTGGCCCAGAACAAGAAACCAGCAAGTCCTAAAAGTGCGCAACCCTACATCAAAATCTTTCGTTGGCACAGTCCTGCAGAGTAAGCTCTCATCCCCTGCATATGACCATTGGTGCAGAGACTGCACACATCGGAGCACTGCCAGATCAAGCCAATTTGCGTGGATGGGTTACAAGCCACCATCGCTCCCTTACGATGTGCCGCCGTTAGAGCATATCCAGCGCCAGTGCCTGCCAACCAGCTGTTGACTGGGCTGTCCTCACACCTCAAGAAGCGGACGCTCTCCTGTAGGGCTGGCACAGCAGGATGTCAGATGTGAGTCGATTCCCATGAAGCATTAAGCAGAAGACACTATCATATTCATCATATGACAGTATTATACGCCCTTTGCCACATCGCTGAAGCGCGCATGCCACGATCCATACATCAGGCACTGGCAACAGCAGTTGCCACACAATTGAGTGGGATTTTTAATGTGTTCAGCGATTGCCTAGCCACATATCTGTCAGGAATATGTAGCCAAGATGTGGCACTCCAAGCAATGGTTTGCAAATGGGGACACCACAATGAATTTAACCATTCTGTGTTGCGATCAAAGCAGAAGCTATGTCTTTCTTGACGTTGCTTTCTTGTCAAGGGACAGTTTGCAGTGGGCTCCTGTATTGGTCAACCTGCCATGGACACAGTCATTCATTCCAGCCAAATGCCAAAAATCAATGACTTTATGGATAGATATTATTTTGGGGTGGGGTCAAACTGTTGCAATTCTGTATAGGAATCCACACCATTTTGATCAATGCAGGCTGATGGCAAATCTGTCTTGAGACATGGGCACCTGGCGGCTGAATGGGCAATGGGCACGGCATATTTGCACATTCTCCTAGTGACTCCAAGGGAAACGAAGCCCAAAAGTGCGTAGAACAAGTCATTTTCCTACCATTTGGAGGGCCCATGGCTTTCACGAAGCTTTGACTGTTCATGCGCTGTCGATTGAGACTTACCAGTGAAGCACGCCATGGCCATCAAAAAGCTGCCGCCCGTACCCAGTATGTACGTCGTAGTCGACCTGATACACGACCACCGGCCCACAAACCTCAAAATCGCCACGCCAAGGCCGTGGAGGTGAGAACGGAGGTCAGGTCGGGAGCGGCAACTGCGAATTCGTCAGACGACCACGTCGCTGGCGCTCACAGTTGTGGTTGCAGCGTCAAGATGACCATCTACCTTGTCCGGGGGGCACTCACCCATTTCGAAGGACCGAAAGCCAAGCTCCAAGGGTGGCTCCGCCAACACCTGTCGCAAAATTGAGGCTCGGGCGTCAGCCCTGTCCGCGTCCAAAGAGCAAGGGACACCTCCCGCATGCGACCACCATCCCGTTGTGAACGTGGCACGGCGGTTGTGAAATAGACCATCCGCGCAGTGCAACGGCAAACAACCTGCCCAGGCTGTCTTTGTGACGACTCTCTCCTGCCAGCCCTCGCTGGCCGGACACGGGTACGGCCGGCTGGGCATCTCGAACAGGGCGGGCACAGTGGGGCCGGACAGCGCCTTTTACATTCTCGGGCTTGGCCTAACCTACAGGCCTGCTTGAGAGCAGGCACAACGTACTGTCCCACACAAACAGGGACAACGCAAGCACCAAGTAGGCACTAAGTGCGCACAAATGCTGTGAAACTGTTCAGCGAACCGGGGCTCTGGCACACCCTGTTGGCCAGTTCCCTGTGCACGTCGCCACCCAGTCCCGCCGAGCTGGTCGCCGGCAAGGTCTGCGCGGGTCCGGCAGCATGAGCGCGCTGGTCCGGCGGTTCATCGACGCCACGTCCGACCTGCCGCGCGAGCTGGCGGCGCGCAGCGAGGAGCTACGCGAGCTGGACGAGCAAGGCCTCATGCTGGCCAAGCGCATCGACAAGAACCATGCCAGTCTGCTGCGCGGCGCGCTGCACAAGGGCGGCCGCCGGGGCGGTGGGGCGGCCGGCGGCGGGGGCGGCGATCGGCCTGCCAAGCGGCCCCGCCCCTCGCCGTCATCGAAGGCCCAGGAGCTGGAGGAGCAGGTGAGGGAGGACATGGGGGAGGTGCAGCAGCTGGCCAAGGGCAGGCTGGCGTGCGCCAGCCAGATGTACGAGTCCATCGACAGGTTGATCCAGCGCGCGGACAAGCACCTCAAGTCGCTACAAGACGACATCGAGCGGGAGCGCGCGCGGCTGCAGCTGGCGCCGGATGAGACGGCCCAGGTGCTGCTGGGGGTGCCGGGGGGGGCGCGGGACGCGCGGGGGAAGGCCAGGGGGGGCTACGGCGGACCAAAGTCTCTGAGCACGCGCAAGGATGGGAAGAAGGGCGGGCGGAGTGGAAGGCCGTCCCTGGCGTCCCCGAGGACGCCTGCAACCCCCGCCTCGGTGGGTCGATTGCCGGTGACGGGGGCGCCGGCGGTTGCGGGGGAGGGCGGGGTGGCGACGGTCGGCGTGCTGCGCCCGGAGCTGGGCTTGGTGGACAACGCGGAGCCACGATATTGCATCTGCGAGAACGTGAGCCACGGGGAGATGATCGCCTGCGACAACCCGGAGTGCGCCATCGAGTGGTTCCACTTCGAGTGCGTGGGGATCAGCAAGGAAAGCAGGCCGAAGGGGAAGTGGTACTGCCCGGAGTGCGCCCCGAGGATGAAAAAAGGGAGGTCCAAGCAGGCGTAGGGGAGGCGATCGGAGTGAGCGCGATGGGATTGGCGAATGGATGGCTTTGCTTGCCCCGCTTGGGACCTCTGTTTCGAAAAGCCGCAAGGCAGCGGTGGGCACCCTTTGCCAGGCTGCGGCTGCGCGTTGGAAACAGCTGAAGGGAGAGTTTGCTGCATCCAATTCGGGCGTTCCCTCAGCCGTACTCAGGCGCCCAGCAGGGCACCCAACGAGTGCAGGAGCGCAAGGGGTGGTTCTCCAGCTGCCAGGAGCAACAGAAACTCATGATGTGTCGAGCAGGTATTGGCACTTGCAAATTGGACCATCCCAAGGCCCACTGAGTAGCTGCATAGGATGTGGTGGACAGCTTGGTTGACAGAATCTTCTGGCTTCACACTCCCTTTCAGACATGTACCAAAGGGGCAAGGTCCACCAACAAGGCAGGCCTGAAATGAGACAAAGTGCGCTGCTCCTAGTGCAATACCCAGGAGCTAGCAAAGTGCAGGCATCTGAGCTGTTCTTGCCACACGCTGCACTTCAAGAAACCCCCCAAAGGCTGAAGGCTGCTACTTGTCAATCGATGGCAAACGAGTATTCGAGAAGGTGAACGTGGACATCAGATGGACAGGGACCAGTCGGGGAGATTGTCATGTACAATGAACGACTGGTGTAATCACTTGGCAGACGCATTCCGGTGTGAGCAATTGCATCTGACTGAGTGCAGATCACAAGAGGGCCACAAGCATGTTCCTCACAAGACAACAGCAATCTAGCATGAGCAACTTGGGTTGCAGATTTGCAGTTTTTGCTGAGCACATGTGGTGCCTCAGTCGTTCAGCTATTGGCCCCCTGACCCTGTGAGTTGCGTATGCCCTCTCCTGTGCCTTGTGTTCTTGTGCAAGGCCTCAGTCCTTTGAGGGATTTTCTTTGTCTGCATCCAGTGCCTCGAAAGCTGTGTGCATTGCACAGGAGACTCAGGCAGAGCATATCCTTATGATATTTGCTAATGACATGGCTCCATGTTCGGTGGGGCAAAGGCTGTAGTCCTTGCCCATAAAATTCAGCCCTGGTTAGGAAACCGATTTTTCACGACTGGAGAGCCTGAGCACCTGCAGGAACGTCTTGGGTTTCACAGAATGCAATCAATGCAGTCATCAATGCAAGTTTGGCAGTCATGAGTTGTTAAATTATATTAGTTAATATGTTTCTTTGATAATTATGGGAGATGTTCCCCTGAAGATGATACAGGCGAGTGGCTATGTTGATCAAGACTAACAGCCATGATGACCAGAAGGAGTCGCTTCGTGGGGCGCCCCCATTCATGCGCAATACGTCTGTTGCGCCACAGATGACCCAACGACGGGGAGGACGAAGTGGGGCAGGGGCGCAGTCTTGGCACCATCTCTCTTGTTTGGGAATGATAGGTTGCGACCTGACACCAAGGGCAAGGCCTCGGAAGGCTAAGTGCCACAGGTCCGTTTGACAAAGCATGACCTCTTGAGGCACACTTCCTTTATCAGATCCTGAACCAGCCTTGCAGCTGCCCAGTGACCACAGCACCACAATACGCTTCGTTGAGTTTGCTCAATCAACAACGCATGATGGGCAGCATCACCACACATCGCCGAGTGCCCCTAGCATCTACCAGTTTGTGAGCTGCATGCCTAGCTCCCATCGTCCCAACGGCCCTTGTGGACAAGCATTCGCTTCCCTCTAAGCAGCGCCAATAGAATTGTGAACAACCCAGGCTCCCTGTCTCCAACCCACTTTGCGGCGCCATTGGTTCAGCCCTCCATCGTCTCGTAGGCGCACCTCCTCGCATCACTCGATCGGACAACTGCAATCAAAATATTGATGCTGAGCACTGTGCTGGGCCACTTGGTATGGCCTGGTATATCGTGAATCTGGGATGGGAGTGGCTATTGGTCATCGTTGAGTGCCGCCCACTTGTTCTCTACTGTCAACGACTCCGACCGATCTGAAACCACGCCGGATGGGAGGTCTTCCCAGTCGTCTGGAACCCCCAAGGGGGTAGGTGGTCCCTGGTTTGGTTCCTGATCCGAGTCCCACGGGTCTGGCTGTGCGCCCCGGCTCTGCGGTTCAGGACTCTGGCCCTTCTTCCTCCTCACTGCATTCCATCCGTTGGCCTCAGTCGCCATGGATGGCAGCACCTGCCTGGAGCTGGAAGCCATGCTCGTGGCCGAGTCGCAGGCCTGTGGCCTGTGCACCCGCTCAACCCTGAATACGTTTCGCACACCACCAGCCAGAAATGCATCGGCGGCCCGGAATGCAGATTCGGTCCTGAACTTCACAAGAGCACTTTGATCGCCCTCCCACTCCACTGTGTATTCCCCGTTCCACTCAGTGAGGTACCTGCACACGTCTGTCTTGGGTTGCATGTCCGTCAACCTCAGTGTCCATGCATTCTGCTTTGCTAACAATTTTTGGTATTCTGCCTCTGGCATAGAAGCCGCGTAAATGCTCACAGGCTTGGATGGAGGGGCCGTCTGTGGCCTCCTTATCAGCTCAATGCAACGATGGGGTTCCTGACCAGTGGACCTCGAGGCGACCCCATAGCACTCTGCAAGTTGGTGCACAGCCAACCTGTCATCCCTTCGCATGGGAGGCAGTTTCAGCCTTGCCATCCGCACGTCCAGCGCAAAGGCATGCATCTGTTTCTCCTGTCCTGAGAACCAATCTGGCCGCTGCCTCGCAGTGGCGATCAGGTTGGCTGGATAGTTGGTGCACTGGTTGACAGATGGCCTGTCTGGGCACGGAAGGTAACTATCAGGATCTTGGATCCCAAACGCATCTGCTAGCCGTGCCTTGTGCTGAGCACGCTCGCACTCCACGTCACAGTGGATGGGCTGTGGCCGCTCGCCTTCCTCGACCACCCGGTGCCGGACGATCCTTCCACAAGGGCACTTCGTCCTCACAGAAATCAAGCGCTTCATCTGTGGCACTGCCGGTGGTGGTGGTGCTGCCAGTGTGGCATCTCGCAGGGATGGGAACTCTGTCTCAGTCGCACCGTTGGCACCACGGTTGGCGGCATCCCTCCAGTGTCCGCGCAGCACCTGGGGACGTGGGCTGGTTGCAAGCAAGCCCACATCGTCGTCGATTAGGGTCAACCCTTGACGAGACTGCCTGCTGCCCTGCTCTCTCGAAGGGCCCCCTTCAGATTCCCCATAGCCTCCCGGATGCCTGACACTCACCGATTGCACATCGATGGCCAGTGGGCGTGCACGTGACTGGTTCCACCTGGGCATATGCGTGGGGTGCTGCTCCCGGTAGTGCTGCTGAAACTCCTCCTGGGTCGCAAATGCCACGAAGCTGTCGCGGCAGGCACCATCTGTGCACATGAAATGGCAGCTGCCCATGTGCTCCAGCAGCTCCCCCCCATGCCTATAGTACATGTAGTGTATGCCCGCCCGCTCGCACACATGGCAGGTGGTGTGTTGCCTCTGCATGTGTCTGTGCAGGTCGTCCTTATCAAAGAATCGAACAGCACAGAACTGGCACTCTGGGTGGCTGGAGCGGTGCTCCTCGAGTTCGGCTGTCAGTTCGTATGTCTCCATCTCCAGGGTAAACTGACGGCCACCCTTGAGGCACACATCACACAAGTCCCTCTTGTGCGCACTCCTCAGGTGGTTTCTCAGCGCCCTGCTGTGTGGAAACGGCTTCAGGCCCTTGGGGTCACACACGGCGCAGCTGATGCTCGTGTAGCGCCGCAGGTACAGGTGCAGGGGCAGGTCCTTCAGGATGGACCGCCTGTCAATGTGCACGCCCTTCGCCCAGGATGCGTGAATGAAATTGTCCCCATTCGCCATCATGGCGTCAAAACTGCACGGC